ATGAGACAAGACAGTCCAGGGTTGGTGGTAATGATCCAGGTCAGTGATGCATGGAACGCCGGTGACGTAGACCTCTGGAGCTGGTGAACGGAATGAACATCAGTACCGGGGGGATCAGTACCCCCCCCCCCCCCCCAGCGGGACAACACCGGCCTAGAGGACGACCATAGGCGACCACAGGACCCGTGGTGCGGGTCGGTCAGGGTGCTGACAGTGAATATCCCTGGTCAGCGAAGCGTCCAGGATGTCCACCGCAGGAACCCAGTACCACTCCTCTGGGCCGTACCCCTCCCAGTCGATGAGGTACTGGAGACGCCCCGCCCAACGCCTCGAATCCAGGACTTCACGGACCGAGTACGCCGGACCTCCCTCAATGTCCAGAGGAGGAGGCGGGGCGTCACTGGGTCCAGCCTCAGCGAGGGGACCAGGCACCACTGGCCTGAGGAGAGAGACATGAAAAGTCGGGTTAATGCGGTAATCAACAGGGAGTTGCAAACGGTACATTACCTCATTAACCCTCCTCAGGACGTTAAACGGCCCCATAAACCGCAGGCTCAGCTTCCGGCAGGGCAGACGGAGGGGCAGGTTCCGGGTGGAGAGCCAGACCCGGTCGCCTGGAGAGAAAACAGGCGCCTCACTGCGGTGGCGGTCGGCCTGTTCCTTGTGCCGACGCACGGCCCGCTGGAGACGAGTGTGCGCAGCGTTCCAGATCTCCTCAGCGCACCGAAACCACTTGTCCACCGCAGGGGCCTCGGTCTGGCTCGGATGCCAAGGTGCCAGGGCCGGCTGATACCCCAACACGCACTGGAAAGGAGTGAGGTTAGTGGAGGAGTGGCGGAGGGAATTCTGCACGTCCTCAGCCCAAGGTAGAAAATCCACCCACTCCCCCGGCCGGTCCTGACAGCAACACCTCAGGAACCTGCCCACCTTCCTGATTGACCCTCTCCACCTGCCCATTAGCTTGAGGACGGTACCCGGAGGTGAGACTGACCGTGACCCCCAGGCGTTCCATGAACGCTTTCCATACGCTTGAGGTGAACTGAGGGCCACAATCTGACACAATGTCCTCTGGGATCCCGTAGTGCCGGATGACGTGCGTAAAAAGAGCCTCCGCGGTTTGCATGGCCGACGGGAACCCAAGCTTTGGAAAACTGGTCCACAACGACGAGAATGGTGGTGTTCCCCTGGGAGGGGGGAAGGTCAGTGACAAAGTCCACAGATAGGTGAGACCAGGGTCGTTGTGGAACCGGCAGGGAAGGAGCTTTCCATAAGGGAGGTGTCTGGGTGTCTTAGACTGGGCACAGATGGAGAAGGAAGTGACGTAAACCCGGACGTCCCTAGCCTGGGTGGGTCACCAGTACTTTTCAGTCAGGCAGGCGATGGTACGGCCTATCCCAGGATGACCCGACACAGGCGCCGTGTGCGCCCAGGAAAGGAAGCGGTCCCGTACAAAGGGCCTGCCGTATGTCGGCGTCCACATCCCACACCACTGGCGCGATGTTACGGAATGGAGGGATGATGGGGGTCTCCTCTCCCTGCCTCTCTTCTGCATAATAGAGGCGAGACAGGGCGTCCGCCTTCACGTTCTTCGAGCCTGGCCTGTAGGAAAGTGTGAATTGGAACCTGGCAAAGAATAGAGCCCACCTGGCCTGTCTTGGGTTTAGCCTGTACTCCAGGCTGTGGTGGTCCGTCCACACCAGGAAAGGGTGTTTGGACCCCTCCAGCCAGTGCCTCCACGCCTTCAGAGCCTTCTTGACCGCCAAGAGTTCCCGGTCCCCTACATCGTAGTTCCTCTGGGCGGGGCTCAGCTGCTTGGAGTAGAAGGCTCAGGGCCTCAGTTTTGGAGGGGTTCCGGTGCACAGGGACAGCACTGCCCTGACTCCTACTTCGGAGGCATCCACCTCGACGATGAAAGGGAGTGAGGAGTCGGAATGTGCCAGCACGGGAGCAGTGGTGAAGCGGGCCTTCAGCGTCGCGAACGCCCTCTCCGCCCTCTCCGCTGGGGACCTCCTCTCAGCAGGGAGGTAAGAGGCGCGACCACCGTGCTGAAGCCCCAGATGAACCTCCGGAAATAGTTGGCGAACCCCAGGAATCGCTGGACAGCTTTCACGGAGTTGGGGATGGGCTATGACCTGACTGCGCTGACGCGTTGCTCCTCCATCTCCACTCCTTCCGTGGATATGAGGTAGCCCAAAATGGACACGGACCGCTGGAAAAACAAAACATTTATCTTGTTTAACATAGACATGATGCTCCAACAGTCTTCCCAGCACAGACCTGACTAACGAGACATGCTTGGCTCGGACAGCAGAATAGACCAAAATGTTGTCTATATAAACCACTACGCCCTGTCCCAGCATGTCCCGAAACACTTTGTTAATTAAGGCCTGGAAGACAGGCCAAAGGGCATTACGCCCCGTGGTCGTGGAAAAGGCAGTTTTCCATTTGTCGCCTGCACGAATGCGCACCAGATTGTAGGCACTCCTCAAGTCCAGTTTCGTGAAGTCCTGCACCCCGTGCATTTGTTCGATGATGGCTGGGATGAGGGGTAAAGGATAGCTGAACTTAACGGTGGCTTTATTCAGTGTTCGATAATCAATGCAGGGACGCAGTCCCCCATATTTCTTCTTAACAAAAAAGAAACTTGAGGAGGCTGGTGACGTAGAGGGGCGTATAAAACCCTGCTGGAGGCTCTCCTGTACGTAGGTCTCCATGGCCTCGGTCTCCGCACAGGAGAGGGGATAGACGTGTCCTCTCGGGAGGGCTGCGTCAGACAGCAGGTCAATGGTTCAGTCCCAGGGGCGATGAGGAGGCAGGCGTGTAGCCTGGGTCTTAGAGAAACCCAGTGCAGATCCTGGTATTCATCCGGTAAAGCCACTTGAGTGGCGCGGTCCGGACTTTCCACCACAGTGGTGTTGACAGACACCGCGAGACACCTCCCCTGACACTCCTGCGACCAACCCAGCAGTCTCCTCTCGGACCAGGAAATAACAGGGTTATGCCAACTCAACCAGGGGGGAGACCTAAAACAACGGGGTGCGTGGGGGGTGCCTATAATCAAAAAGGTGATCTGTTCTAAATGAGTGTCATGGGTCAGCAGAGAAACGGGAACAGTGATGTGATGTACGAGCCTTGTCCCTATTGGACGATTATCCAGGGCTGGGTGACTGTAGGGGAACCAAAGGAATGCATAATGCAGTGGCAGCTCCAGAATCAATCAGAGCTAGCGGGAGTGAGGGCTAGGGTATTCAGGGAATTTAATGGGAAAATACACTGGTTGAGTTGATAGAAAAGGAGAGGAGATCTTGCATCCTATCTGGGTTGGAGCAAGGGAATTCCCTGGCTTGTCACCTCCTCGCCTATTAGTGGATATAGGGCAGGTCGGGGAGGAATGACCCCTTTCTCCACAATAGGAGAGCAGAGTCCCAGATTCCTCCCTCTCCTACGCTCTGCCTTGGCCAAACGTGCAGAGCCCACTTCCATCGACTCTGGCCACGGGGCAGGTGTAGCCATGGGCTCCGGATTCCGCACAGGTCTTCGTCAGGACCGCAGGAGGTTGTCCAACTGGATCGCTATGCTGATGAGCTGGTCGAGTGACAGGTTGTCATCACAGCAGGCTAACTCCATCTGTACCTCCTCCTGCAGTCCGCTGCGGAACACGGTGACCAGAGCCGACTCGTTCCATCCGGTGGAGGCCGCGATGGTCCAGGAACTCCAGGGTGAACTCCGAGGCGGTCCTAGATCCCTGACGTAGTCGGAGTAGATGCTCACCCTCCTCTCGGCCCTCCACAGGATGATCAAACACCGAGCGGAAGAGGAGGGTGAAGCGCTCGTAGGACTCGACCTCGGGTCCGCCCGTTTCCCAGACCACGGCACCCCAGTCCAGGGCCCGTCCGGTCAGTGCAGAGAGGACGGTGGCAACCCTGTCTCTCCCGGAGACAGCCTCGGCCTAGCGAGCGAGGTACAGGTCGCATTGCAGAAGGAATCCCTTGCATCTCGCTGGCGCGCCGTCAAAGCGCTCCGGCGAGGGACAGGGGTATTCCGCGGACCGGCTCAGATGGGACGGAGGCAGGTAGTGGTTGTGTGCGGACTGGTGCCGGAACCGGTGCTGGAGACTGGAGGGACTGCACTTTCCCCTCCAACCACAGGATGGTTGCCAGCACGCTGTCCATGGTGCTGCCGAGTGGACTTATTTAGACTTTCCATGACAAAGGGGTTGAATACTTATTGACTCAAGACATTTCAGCTTTTCATTTTTAATTAATTTCTAAAAATTTCTAAAAACATAATTCCACTTTGACATTATGAGGTATTGTGTGTAGGCCAGTGACAAAAAAAAATGTAATCCATTTAAAATTCTGGCTTTAACACAACAAAATGTGGAAAAGGTCAAGGGGTGTTAATACTTTCTGAAGGCACTGTAGATTACATTTCAAATAAAATCAAATCAAATTTTATTGGTCACATGCGCCGAATACAACAGGTGCAGACATTACAGTGAAATGCTTACTTACAGCCCTTAACCAACAGTGCATTTATTTTAAACAAAAAAAGTAAAAATAAAACAACAACAAAAAAAGTGTTGAGAAAAAAAAGAGCAGAAGTAAAATAAAGTGACTGTAGGGAGGCTATATATACAGGGGGGTACCGTTGCAGAGTCAATGTGCGGGGGCACCGGCTAGTTGAGGTAGTTGAGGTAATATGTACATGTGGGTAGAGTTAAAGTGACTATGCATAAATACTTAACAGAGTAGCAGCAGCGTAAAAGGATGGGGTGGGGGGGCAGTACAAATAGTCCGGGTAGCCATGATTAGCTGTTCAGGAGTCTTATGGCTTGGGGGTAGAAGCTGTTGAGAAGCCTTTTGGACCTAGACTTGGCACTCCGGTACCGCTTGCCGTGCGGTAGCAGAGAGAACAGTCTATGACTAGGGTGGCTGGAGTCTTTGACAATTTTGATATATATTTGACAATTTTGACACTATTTATACATTTGTATAAATAGTGAAAAGAACAGGTCCTAGCATCTACCTTTATGTACTTCAATAAATTCGGACTTAACCCCACCAACAGTAGGCCACTTTTGGTGATGGTTTGGCATCACAGCTCAGGTCCAAGGGTTTGTCATCCCTGTTTTACTCCCCCTCAATCTTTGGACCTTGGGCTGGTTCTTAAAAGAAGGGAAACTGTGCCAAGATGCTCAAAGCTGTGTTGAGTTGCAGCAGGTACATACCCACGTCTAGAGAACGTTGAGAAGACTACTCCTTTAGGATGTATTAGACTAAACCAAGACTATAGATAGATATAGATAGATATACTATATACTGTAGATACTATAAGATATTGATCTGCTGGACAAAACACATAGCATGCTGCTACTGCTTTTCACACTCTGTAGTCTGCTCAGTTGTGGTAAGTATAATCATTATTTATATCCCTCGAAAATTATCTTTCTATGGAACCTAATTTAATATCATATTGCTATAAATGTACATGGAATACTTACACTACGTATTTATTTGGACAGTGAAGTTAAAACCTTAAATTTTGGCTCTATACTCCAGCATTTTGGATTTGAGATAAAATGTTTCATGAGGCAACAGTGCAGAGTGTCACCTTTTATTTGAGGATATTTTCCTACAAAATCTGTTTTACCGTTTAGAAATGAAAAGCACTTTATGTATTTAGCCCCCCCCCATTTGAAGGTGGCATAGGTATTTGGACAGATTCACTTATATGTGCATTAAAGTAGTCAAAAGTTTAGTATTTGGTTCCATATTCATAGCACGCAATGATTACTCTACAAACTTTTGGTTGTGTTTCAGATTATTTTGTGCCCAATAGAAATGAATTGGTAAAAAAAAGTATTGTGTGATTTTGGAGTCACTTTTAATGTAAATAAGAATATAATATGTTTCTTATCACTTCTACATTAATGTGGAACGCTACCATGATTATGGATAATCCTGAATGAATCCGTGTATAATGATGAGTGAGAAAGGTACAGAGGTATATATAATACTCATTTGCGTAGACTACTTAAATAACATTGAAGAGTTGAAATGCTAACCTCCCCTATTATTGGTAATGGTGAGAGGTTAGCATGTCTTGGGGGACGTGATCTTTGTGCCTCTGTTACTTTCTCACTCATCATTATACACGATTCATTCAGGATTATTTGTAATCATGGTAGCGTCCACATTAATGTAAAAGTTTATGACGGAAGGAGGGCACGATGCCCTCTCATCCTTGGCACGAAAAAGTTGTGGAATGTTTCCTCATCTAACCCAAGACAAAACGGGGATAGGGGGCTATCACTGTAATTCATTACAGACACGCGACAACACTAGGAATAGCCATGATAAGTTACGATCAGTTACACTGGACTGAAGTTAGTTCTTTTTTTCTTCTTGTTGTGTAAATAAGCAATAAGGCATGAGGGGGTGTTGTATATTGGCCATATACCACAAACCCCCTACGTGCCTTATTGCTATTATAAACTGGTTACCAACGTAATTAGAGCAGTAAAAATTAATGTTTTGACATACCCGTGAAATACGATCTGATATACCACGGCTGTCAGCCAATCAGCGTTCAGGGCTTGATCCACCCAGTTTATAATGTTCCATACATCGTATTGTATTTGCGTTGTTATTTTCCATCAACTGAACTATGATCAGTTCAGGCCTACAGCTAAACACTCCTGTGATTGTTGTGTTGTCAGCCTTCGGTCAGTGTGAGGAGGGATGGAGAGCATATGAGGACAAGTGTTACTACTTCTCTACCAACACAAAGTCCTGGGATGATGCCCGCACAGACTGTGTGGGACGGGGGAGCCATCTGATGAGCATCCTGGACATTCATGAGAGGGTGAGCTTCTGGTTTGGAGATGCGTTCTACAGTAGTCTAGTTCATAGCTGCTGTATAAGGCTCTGTCCTGTAACCTCTGCTCTCTCCTGGTAGACATGGGTGCGGACTCAGATTGGTACAGAGATTTTCTGGATCGGTCTGAATGACATTGCTGCTGAGGGAGTGTGGGAGTGGACTGACGGGAGCACCTTCCTCCCCTACTTAGCGTACGTAGCCATCTTATGATCTTATACGATCTGACACTATATTAAAAACACATCAGCAAAATTATGGCTCCATTAAATGAACAATCTGGTTGGGGGGGGGGGTAATCAAGTGCTGTTATGTGTCAGTCATTGTCATTGTATCAAGTACAGTAACACCCTATAGTAGCCTTTGTTGTGTGACGGTTGTTGATGATTGGTTGATGGGCACCATACTTCCCAGGATAGTTGGGTATCAAGCCCTCGTTTGACCCCATGATTATTCATATTCACCTCTGATGTTCTCATGTGTGCTTGTGCACTCTACACAGATACTGGAAACCAGGCAATCCTGACAACTGGCAGGACAACGAGGATTGTGGGGAGGTGGTCGGGGGAGAACATGGACAATGGAATGATGACGTCTGTGTTAACCTGCAGAAGTATATCTGCAAGCGCCCCAACCGTAGGTTTTAACAAGCAAATCGACATACCGCCGTTGCCTGTTGTCTACAATAATGCTTATGGGACCTAAGGAGGTGAATGACATTCGTACACATTTCACTCCTTTCCTCAGCTAATCCTCCAACAACGTGCGACACAGCCAACGGATGGAGCCATTATGGATCCAACTGCTACAAACTACAGACAGACACCAGGAAGAGCTGGTTGGGAGCCAGAAATGACTGTGTGAGGGACGGGGCGGACCTGGTGTCCATCGCATCACAGGAAGAGGAGCAGTACGTCACAGGACGACTGGACTCTTCCATGTACGACCTCTGGCTTGGCTACACCACTCTGGTAATCAAAACATACAGTATATGAAAACTTTAACTTAAATACATTGACTTAACCTGACTAACAGGTTGTTACATAAATCTAATTTAATTCATAATCATCAGAACAATGTATACGTTGAAATTGCATAGAAAATTCCATGTAGAATAATTAAATATTGGGTGGTTAAAATTGTTGAATTTAATATTTGATTAGACAGATTTTTATTTGATGTTGTTTCAATGTTGAAAGTAAAATGGTATGTTTGAATCAACGTCATTGTTTCAAAATCATGCCATCAACCTAAATAAAGAGTTAGGACATATGAATTCACAGTCCAGTAATTCCTGCTGAAACAGTGACTCCTATTGGTATATGAGAGGAAATGCACTTCAGTGAGAATAACTTTTATCTGGATGCCTCTATGTACCCTGCTTAGCTTTGGAAACAAGCAGCGTTCCATTCAGCTGAGCTATCATGTCAACACATTCAGACATTGAAAAGCTTCCATACTCATTTGCGTAGACTACTTAAATAACATTGAACAGTTGAAAGTAACTAACTATTCTTACACAAGTTTTATGCAAAAGTGCATTTGGAGTGAGGTTGGGTTTATGTAGGCTTAATTGACATCTGATTTACTCAAAGAACACCATCATTTCAACGTGTAGCTAGGTATGCTATCATTCATCCCTGGTTGATTGGATCTTTGGAAGTTTAGTAGTAGTCACCATTAGCCTTATAAATAGGATGCCAAATGTATTATATTAATAATACACTTTTACCTTTGAATATTGTCTTGTATATGAAGAATGGTTGGTTGACTTCAAATTTAAATCGCCAAGTTATTAATACATTGTATTCACGTTTCCATCTCAACATAAAAATATAAGTTGAAGAATAGGACTAAATCAAATCAAACTTTATTTGAAGTGCATTTAAAGTTGAATTGGTGCTACATTTTACATTCTAGTCATTTAGCAGACGCTCTTATCCAGAGCGACTTACAGTTAGTGAGTGCATACATTATTTTTTATTTTTCATACCCCCCGTGGGAATCGAACCCACAACCCTGGCGTTGCAAACGCCATGCTCTACCAACTGAGCTACATCCCTGCCGGCCATTCCCTACCCTGGACGACGCTGGGCCAATTGTGCGCCGCCCCATGGGTCTCCCGGTCGCGGCCGGCTACCACAGAGCCTGGATTCGAACCAGGATCTCTAGTGGCACAGCTAGCACTGCGATGCAGTGCCTTATACTTTAACTTGCATTTTTGGTTAAGATGGAGACATCTCAATCATTAATTTGTAGACAAACTGGATATTGAATTGTGAACGCAACCAAACGCCAACATTTGAAGGAAATGTATCTTCTGCTTGGATAGTATATAGAGCTGGGGATTGCAAGGGACCTCACGAGACGATATTATCACCATACTTAGTTGACACTACGATATGTATTGCGATTCTCACAATGTTACAGCCTTATTCTAAAATGGATTCAATAGATTCTTTCCTCATCAATCTACATACAATACCCCATAATGACAAAATAGGTTTTTAGACATTTTTGCAAATTTATAACAAATAAAAAACTGAAATATCACATTTACATAAGTACTCAGACCCTTTACTCAGTACTTTGTTGAAGCACCTTTGGCAGCGATTACAGCCTCAAGTCTTCTTGGGTGTGACGCTACAAGCTTGGCACACCTGTATTTGGGGAGTTTCTCCCATTTTTCTCTGCAGATCCTCTCAAGCTCTGTCAGGTTGGAAGGGGAGTGTCGCTGCACAGCCATTTTCAGGTCTCTCCAGAGATGTTCGATCGGGTTCAAGTCCGGGCTCTCAGAGAATTGTCCCGAAGCCACTCCTGCATTGTCTTGGCTATGTGCTTTGGGTCGTTGTCCTTTTAGAAGGTGAACCTTCGCCCCGCTCTGGAGCAGGTTTTCATCAAGGATCTCTCTGTACTTTGCTCCGTTCATCTTTCCCTTGATTCCGGCTAGTCTCCCAGTCCCTGCCGCTGAAAAACATCCCCACAGCATGATGCTGCCACCACCATGCTTCACCGTAGGGATGGTGCCAGGTTTCCTCCAAATCTGAAGGTTGGCATTCAGGCCAAAGAGTTCAGTCTTGGTTTCATCAGACCAGAGAATCTTGTTTCTCATGGTCTGAGAGTCCTTTAGGTGCCTTTTGGCAAACTCCAAGCGGGCTGTCATGTGCCTTTTACTGAGGAGTGGCTGATTGGTGGAGTGCTGCAGAGATGGTTGTCCTTCTGGAAGGTTCTCCCATCTCCACAGAGGAACTCTGGAGTTCTGTCAGAGTGACCATCGGGTTCTTGGTCACCTCCCTGACCAAAGCTCTTCTCCCCCGATTGCTCAGTTTGGCCGGGCGGCCAGCTCTAGGAAGAGTCTTGGTGGTTCCACACTTCTTCCATTTAAGAATGATGGAGGCACTGTGTTCTTGGGGACCTTCAATGCTGCAGAAATGTTTTGGTAGCCTTCCCCAGATCTGTGCCTCAACACAATACTGTCTCTGAGCTCTATGGACAATTCCTTCGACCTCGTGGCTTGGTTTTTGCTCTGACATGCACTGTCAACTGTGAGACCTTATATAGACAGGTGTGTGCCTTTCCAAATCATGTCCAATCAATTGAATTTACCACAATTTACCTATTAATAGGGCTAATGGTGACTACTTCTAAACTTCCAAAGATCCAATCAACCAGGGATGAATGATATTATACCTAGCTACACATTGAAAGTATGGTGTCCTTTAGGGCAAATCACATGTCAACGTAGCCTACATAAACCCAACCTCACTCCAATTTACTTTCACATACAGCTTGTGTAAGAATAGTTAGAGGAGTCACTTAGGTAGTCTACGCCAATGAGTATGGAAGCTGATCAATGTTGACATGATAGCTCAGCTCCATCGGACACAGCTTGTTTCCAAAGCTAAGTAGGGTACATATTAGTCATTTAGCAGACGCTCTTATCCAGAGCCACTTACAGTTAGTGAGTGCATACATTTTTCATACTGCCCCCCCCCCCCCCCCCCCCCGTGGGAATCAAACCCACAACCCTGGCGTTGCAAAACGCCACGCTCTACCAACTGAGCTACAGGTAGGCATCTGGATGGTAGTCTCAGTCTCGCTGAAGTGCATTACCCCTCAAATACCAGTAGGAGTCACCGTTCAGGCAGGAGTCCTCGAACTATGGGTACAAGTTTTATTTCAATGTACACTATATATCCAAAAGTATGTGGACACATTCCTTCAAATTAGTGGATTCGGCTATTTCAGCCACACCCGTTGCTGACAGCTGTATGAAATTGAGCACACAGCCATGCAATCTCTATAGACAATGGCTCACATGAGTGCTGAGGCTCTTAGCGTGTAAAAATCGTCTGTCCTCGGTTGCAACTCTCACTACCGAGTTCCAAACTGACTCTGGAAGCAACATCAGCACAAGAACTGTTCGTCGGGAGCTTCGTGAAATGGGTTTCCATAGCCGAGCAGCCGCACACAAGCCTGATCACCATGCGCAATGCCAAGCGTTGGCTGGAGTGGTGTAAAGTTCGCCACCATTGGACTCTGGAGCAGTGGAAACGTGTTCTCTGGAGTGATGAATCATGCTTCACTGTCTGATGGATGAATCTGGCTTTGGCAGATGCCACAGAACCCTGAATGCATAGTGCCAACTGTAAAGATTGGTGGAGGAGGAATAATGGTGTGGGGCTGTTTTTCATGGTTCCAGTGAAGGGAAATCTTAATAATATAATATAATATGCCATTTAGCAGACGCTTTTATCCAAAGCGACTTACAGTCACGTGTGCATACATTTTTACGTATGGGTGGTCCCGGGGATCGAACCCACTACCCTGGCGTTACAAGCACTGTGCTCTACCAATTGAGCTACAGAGGACCACATGCTGCACCATACAATGACATTCTAGATGATTCTGTGCTTCCAAATTTGTGGCAACAGTTTGGGGATGGCCCTTTCCTGTTCCAGCATGACAATGCCAGTGTGCAAAGCCAGGTCCATACAGAAATAGTTTTTTGAGGTTGATTCAAACATATCATTTTACTATCAACATTGAAACAAGGTCAAATAACATATGTCTAATGAAATATAAAATTCTACATAATTTCTACAACCCAATATATAAGTATATTGAATATAGAAGGACAACTATTTGTTCTGTTTCTATGTGGACTTTTCAACGCAATTTCAACGTATACATAGTTCTGATGATTACGTTGGAATTAGATCGATGTAACAACCTGTTAGTCAGGTTAAGTCAATGTATTTAAGTTAAAATTTTACCCTAATCAATTGATTACAACGCTGGTTGAAATTAGATGAAAACAGTATAGGTTGATTTCTTTTCTTAAATACAATGTATTTTCCACGTTTTCCACAATACATAGACGAATTAAGTAGAAACAACATTGATCCAACCAGTGTGTACTAGCTACATGTAATTATATAACTTAACCCTGGTATAATGAGTTATCATTTTTGTTTTTTCACAGAAATGCACAACAATATCATGTCAGGTTGAAATTAACAGCGTTCAGTTCAGCTGGTCTGATGCTTCTACAGGGGCCTACATCAACTGGGGAACCGATCCTCATCAGCCAGATCTCAGGTAGGACAGGACATGTTGGGTGCCAGATCTATATGATCAACTGTATCACAGTGATTGTGCAGGGTTGATTCTAGCTTCGCAGTCAAAAATACCTTCTCTCTCTCCGACAGTGAAAAGGAGAACGGGATTTGTGTCGCAGTGATCAAGGAGGCGGGACAGGACTTTGGGAAGTGGAAGTCCCATATATGCCGTCATGAGCGCCCTTACATGTGCAAAAGAGCACTCAACAGTAAGCTCAGATCTTCAGAAATCATTACTGGATAGATAACCATGTGAATGATGTGGTATTAGCTCAAATTACTGTGACATGACTTAATACATGGCCAATTATTATATGGTTTGATATGGTCTTCAGAAGGCAATTGAACACCGTGCAACAATGCAGATACATGTGCCAACTGCTCAATAGAACTCCGTGGCGTCAACTGACAAGCTAACTAGTGGCTGCAGGCTCCTGAGTGAAAACATGGGCTTTTTCTAAATGAAATCCACTCAAGACAAAACTAAACGGGGACTAAATGTATATTTATTTACAAAGCTAAAAGACTGAATTTCAATATCCATCCTCCGCGAAGACAATCTGCTCCTGTTTTCATTGTGTCTTTCCCTTTAAATCGCCATAGAAACGGCCTCTCTCAACGTAGATTGATCGTGGTTATATCCAATGAAAGCCAAGGATATGTAGGTGAAAATGACGAAGATATCAAGTTGATTTTTGATTTGTCCAACAAGCGGAAACACCTCCAAATGGTACCACCTCACAACACCAAATATGGAAGAGATACAACCAAGAGCGGCACAGTCTAAACTAGCAACGATCGCAGCAAATTCATGTTCTTATTTCATCAACACTGTCAAGTACAAGGTTACAATATTGTAGAGAACAATCGAATGATTAATTATATGTAATTTATAATAAAATAGGGCAAGGAAAACAACGTTTTGACATTGATTTCGTAGCACCCTCTTGAATTGCCCCGTTTTTCTCTACGTTGTAACAGCAGTGAGTGAACACCCTATACTCTGTTGTATTTCCCTCTGAAAAGCCATTTGCCCTCCCGGTTGGATCAGTTTCAGTGGGAGCTGTTACTGGGTGGTCAGCAACAAGATGCTCCTGACCAGCTGGCATGAGGCTCAACAGAAGTGTTCAAGTGAGGGGGCTAACCTGGTGACAATTAAGACGTAAGAAACAACACGATTTACTGAACACAATGATTGATAAGGAAAATGAAAACATGTTCTAATTCGTATCACTTGTTGTTTTAGTCAAGAGGAGCAATACTTCATCAACACTCATCTGCCTGAACTTAATCAAGGGGAAGTGCCTGATATGTGGATTGGTGTTGCAGGTATATCAGACCTACAGATTTAACCCAATAGCTTTATTTGGCCAATATCTTATGAGCTTTTCACTGTAATCTGTGACACTTGACCGATGTGGGCTTGACGAGCACTGCTGGTTGCGTCGTTGTAAAGAGAGACTGCAGAATATTTACTAAAACTCACATTTTAAGTCAATGAAAAGGCCAAGTCTACAATTTCCTGATTTGTGATGTCACTAGATCAGGACCAGGATGGTACATTCAGATGGGTGGACAAAACAGATATTATGTTCTCCAATTGGAAACCTAACTTTCCCAAGAACACAGCAAACCTCTGGGACTGTGGTCAAATCTACACCGGTAAGGGCATGTGGTCTGTACTACATGAATCACTTAATCCATCAACAAACTCTGGATCATAGAGGAGGAAAGGTACAGAACTTTGTTCTATTGTTTTTTGCCTTACAGGAGATTTCTCTGGAAAATGGGAAACAACCAACTGCTTCAAAAACCTGGGATACATTTGTAAAATGGTGGGGGGTCAAAATGTTAAGCCTACGTCTGTTCCAGGTTAGTGGCTGACAACTGGAAGCCCTTTGTTTGTATTCCTATAAATCATGTCAATGCAAACTAATACGTTCTTTATTCTATCAATATATCGTTTGACATATAACATAATACTTTGCATTGTTTTGGTGTAGATTCTCATTGTGATGCTGGATATCTTCTCTATGGAGACTACTGCTATCACTTTGAGACTGAAATGGTGAAAAAATGGCAAGATGCGGAGAGTTACTGTGCCAATCAAAATGGCCACCTGGCAAGTTTTCATACTCAAGAGGAACTGAGCTTCATAACTAGTGAGTGGTTGACAAAATGTAACAAAACAACAACAAAAAACATCTATATGTTGAACAAATAGAAGATAGTATTTTTTTCCCCCCTTAAAAATATTATATTCCATTGGAAATGTTATTTTGCAGCTCATATGCCCGGCCCATCCTGGGTTGGTCTTAGTGACATTACGACAGAAGGAGTGTGGGTCTGGACTGATGGGACTCCATCCGTGAGTGACAAATATTCCATTGATTAAAAGTTTGTGGGCCAAATTGTTGATGGTATACACATTTGAGATTTAAATTAACATTCACTTTGGCTTCACTCTCTCTTCCAGGACTTTCTACCATGGGCGCCCAACCAGCCTGACAACTGGCAGGGCAATGAGGATTGTTCCAATATTCGGGGATTCAACCACCATGAAGCTGGGCTACTCAACGATGAGTTCTGTACAATGACATTAGAATTTGTCTGCAGAAAAGGTCTGATTTGTCATTTCACCATTTTCCATTACTAAATGTTATTTGTAAAAAATATATATACAGTGTATTTGGAAAGTATTCAGACCCCTTGACTTTTTCCACATTTTGTTACGTTACAGCCTTATTCTAAAATGTATTAAATTGTTTTTTTCCCTCATCAATCTACACACCATACCTCATGATGACAAAGCAAAAACAGAAATATCACATTTACATAAGTATTCAGACCCTTTACTCAGTACTTTGTTGAAGCACCTTTGGCAGCGATTACAGCCTCGAGTTTCATTGGGTATGACTCTACAAGCTTGGCACACCTGTATTTGGGGAGTTTCACCTATTCTTCTCTGCAGATCCTTTCAAGCTCTGTCAGGTTGGATGGGGAGCGTTGCTGCACAGCTATTTTCAGGTGTCTCCAGAGATGTTAGATCGGGTTGAAGTCCGGGCTCTGGCTGGGCCACTAAAGAACATTCAGAGACTTGTCCCGAAGCCACTCCTGCGTTGTCTTGGCTGTGTGCTTAGGGTTGTTTTCCTGTTGCAAGGTGAACCTTCGCCCCAGTTTGAGGTCCTGAGCACTCTGGAGCAGGTTTTCATCAAGGATCTCTCTGTATTTTGCTCCGTTCATCTTTGCCTCAATCCTGACAAGTCTCCCAGTCCATGCCGCTGAAAAACATCCCCACAGCATGATGCTGTTACCTCCATGCTTCACTGTAGGGATGATGCCAGGTTTCCTCCAGACGTGACTTTTGCAATCAGGCAAAATATTTCAATCTTGGTTTCATCAGACCAGAGAAACTTGTTTCTCATGGTCTGAGAGTCTTTAGGGGCCTTTTGGCAAACTCCAAACGGGCTGTCATGTGCCTTTTACTGAGGAGTGGCTTCCGTCTGGCCACTACCATAAAGGCCTGATTGGTGGAGTGCTGCAGAGATGGTTGTCCTTCTGGAAGGTTCTCCCATCTCCACAGAGTAACTCTAGCGCTCTGTCAGAGTGACCATTGGGTTCTTGGTCACCTCCCTCCCTAGGCCCTTCTCCCACGATTGCTCAGTTTGGCCAGGCGGCCAGCTCTAGGAAGAGTCTTGGTGGTTCCAAACTTCTTCCATTTAAGAATGATGGAGGCCACTGTGTTCTTGGGTACCTTTCAATGCTGCAGAAATGTTTTGGTACTCTTCCCCAGATCTGTGCCTCGACACAATCCTGTCTCGGAGCTCTACAGAAAATGTATTCGACCTCATGGCTTGGTTTTTGCGCTGACATGCACTGTTAACTGTGGGACCTTTATATAGACAGGTGTGTGCCTTTCCAAATCATGTCCAATCAATTGAATTTACCACAGGTGGACTCCAATCAAGTTGTAGAAACATCTCAAGGATGATCAATGGAAACAGGATTTACCTGAGCTCAATTTTGAGTCTCATAGCAAAGGGTCTGAATACTTATGTAAATAAGGTATTTTTGTTTTTTATTTTTTATAATTTTGCAAAAAAATCTAATAGCCTGTTTTCACTTTGTCATTATGGGGAATTGTGTGTAGATTGATGAGGACTGTTTATTTAATCAATTTTAGAATATGTCTGTAACGTAACAAAACTTGGAAAAAGTCAAGGGGTCTGAATACTTTCCGAAGGCACTATTCAAAAGTAAATTACCACAGAATGTAAATAATACACTGCTCAAAAAAATAAAGGGAACACTTAAACAACACAATGTAACTCCAAGTCAATCACACTTCTGTGAAATCAAACTATCCACTTAGGAAGCAACACTGATTGACAATACATTTCACATGCTGTTGTGCAAATGGAATAGACAACAGGTGGAAATTATAGGCAATTAGCAAGACACCCCCAATAAAGAAGTGGTTCTGCAGGTGGTGACCACAGACCACTTCTCAGTTCCTATGCTTCCTGGCTGATGTTTTGGTCACTTTTGAATGCTGGCGGTGCTTTCACTCTAGTGGTAGCATGAGACGGAGTCTACAACCCACACAAGTGGCTCAGGTAGTGCAGCTCATCCAGGATGGCACATCAATGCGAGCTGTGGCAAGAAGGTTTGATGTGTCTGTCAGCGTAGTGTCCAGAGCATGGAGGCGCTACCAGGAGACAGGCCAGTACATCAGGAGACATGGAGGAGGCCGTAGGAGGGCAACAACCCAGCAGCAGGACTGCTACCTCCGCCTTTGTGCAAGGAGGAGCAGGAGGAGCACTGCCAGAGCCCTGCAAAATGACCTCCAGCAGGCCACAAATGTGCATGTGTCTGCTCAAACGGTCAGAAACAGACTCCATGAGGGTGGTATGAGGGCCCGACGTCCACAGGTGGGCGTTGTGCTTACAGCCCAACACCGTGTAGGACGTTTGGCATTTGCCAGAGAACACCAAGATTGGCAAATTCGCCACTGGCGCCCTGTGCTCTTCACAGATGAAAGCAGGTTCACACTGAGCACATGTGACAGACGTGACAGAGTCTGGAGACGCCGTGGAGAACGTTCTGCTGCCTGCAACATCCTCCAGCATGACCGGTTTGGTGGTGGGTCAGTCATGGTGTGGGGTGGCATTTCTATGGGAGGCCGCACAGCCCTCCATGTGCTCGCCAGAGGTAGCCTGACTGCCATTAGGTACCAAGATGAGATCCTCAGACCCCTTGTGAGACCATATACTGGTGCGGTTGGCCCTGGGTTCCTCCTAATGCAAGACAATGCTAGACCTCATGTGGCTGGAGTGTGTCAGCAGTTCCTGCAAGAGCAAGGCATTGATGCTATGGACTGGCCCGCCCGTTCCCCAGACCTGAATCCAATTGAGCACATCTGGGACATCATGTCTCGCTCCATCCACCAACGCCACGTTGCACCACAGACTGTCCAGGAGTTGGCGGATGCTTTAGTCCAGGTCTGGGAGGAGATCCCTCAGGAGACCATCCGCCACCTCATCAGGAGCATGCCCAGGCGTTGTAGGGAGGTCATACAGGCACGTGGAGGCCACACACACTACTGAGCCTCATTTTGACTTGTTTTAAGGACATTACATCAAAGTTGGATCAGCCTGTAGTGTGGTTTTCCACTTTAATTTTGAGGGTGTCTCCAAATCCAGACCTCCATGGGTTGATACATTTGATTTCCATTGATAATTTTTGTGTGATTTTGTTGTCAGCACATTCAACTATGTTAAGAAAAAAGTATTTAATAAGATTATTTCATTCATTCAGATCTAGGATGTGTTGTTTAAGTGTTCCCTTAATTTTTTTGAGCAGTGTATAAAAGTATCAACTGTCTTTCTAATCCTCAGCAAAAGGTCAAGGACCCCCACCCAGACCTCCCACATCGGGGCCAGGTAAGTTTACCATTCTTTACCTCCTAAAAATCTCTCACTTGCAATTTCCAACAAGAAATCAGTTTGACTGTTGGCCATTTTAACCACACACATTTATTTTTGTGCAGTTAAAATGCAACAAACAGGTAAAAAAAATTTCAGAGTGTGGTGTAAGACAGGGCTGTAGTCTAAGCCCTATTCCAAAATATATAATCTGATTTTTTCCATCCTGCAGATTGGAATGAGAAGTGTGGCTCTTGGATGTCAGACCCGTTCAATGACTACTGCTACCTGTTTAACTACCTGTCCATGAGGAAATGGGCTGATGCACGTGCTGACTGTGTGAACCAGGGAGGGGACCTTCTCAGCATCACCGAGCCCTTTGAACAGGCCTTCATTCAATGTACAGTTGTGTTAAAAAGTGCTATAAACATTTTCAGTAAAAATAATATACTATAACAATATTGTCTATTCACAACAGCAATTCAAATGAGTAGTATTCTGATGTGTTGTGTTCATGAACAGCTCAGGTCCAGCTGATTCCTACGGGGGTGTCCATGTGGATGGGGGGACATGACTCCATTACAGAGGGGGGCTGGGAGTGGACTGATGGCTCTCCTTTCAGATACATCCACTGGAACTCAGGTAATAGTCCTAATGCTTTCAGATACATCCACTGGAACTCAGGTAATAGTCCTAATGCTTTCAGATACATCCACTGGAACTCAGGTAATAGTCCTAATGCTTTCAGATACATCCACTGGAACTCAGGTAATAGTCCTAATGCTTTCAGATACATCCACTGGAACTCAGGTAATAGTCCTAATGCTTTCAGATACATCCACTGGAACTCAGGTAATAGTCCTAATGCTTTCAGATACATCAAATCAATTCAAATTGTATTTATCACATGCACCGAATACAACAGGTGTAGATCTTACCATGAAATGCTTACTTACAAGCCCTTAACCAACAATGCCATTTTAAGAAAGATAAGAGTTAAGAAAATATTTACTAAATAAACTAAAGTTTAAAAAAAGTAACACAATAAAATAACAATAACGAGACTATATATACAAGGGGTACCAGTACCAAGTCAATGTGCGGGGGTACAGGTTAGTCGAGGTAATATGTACAGTATTAGTCAAAAGTTTGGACACACCTACTCATTCAAGGGTTTTTCTTTATTTTTACTATTTTCTACATTTTAGAATAATAGTGAAGACATCAAAACTATGAAATAACACATATGGAATCATGTAGTAACCAAAAAAAGTGTTAAACAAATCAAATATATTTAGAAGTAGCCATCCTTTGCCTTGATGACAGCTTTGCACACTCTTGGCATTCTCTCAACCAGCTTCACCTGGAATGCTTTTCCGACAGTCTTGAAGGAGACTGTACATGTAGGTAGGGTTAAAGTGACTATGCATAGATAATAAACAGCGAATAGCAGCAGCGTAAAAAAAAAGGGGGGGGGGGGGGTCAATGTAAATAGTCTGGGTAGCCATTTGATTAGCTGTTCAGCAGTCTTATTGCTTGGGACGCTTATTCACTTATGGCTTATCCTCTAGAACGCAGGTAATGTTTCTTTTTTTTGGATGTTTTTTCCATGTATTTTAGAGGAGTGACTTCCCCAAGTGGCGATGTGGTACAAATACAAAGCATCACATTTCTCTACCTCCTCTTTGCCTCACTCAGGCAACCCAGACGACTATGAAGGAGAGGATTGCCTTTCCATGCTCATCAACACCGGCTACTGGAACGATGACAACTGTGACTACAATAGAGGATACATATGCAAGCGCAGAGGTAACCTGGTCCTGTACAAATGGTTGTGTCTTTTGAAAATGTTAAAATGTTGTTTTTTTTTTAAACCCTACTTCCCTGGTTTCTTTCAGGAAACACACCAGTTTCTCCTCCACCCCACGATGGTAAGATAAATGAACCCTGCTCTTATAGACAAAGTATAAACTGTGGACTATTGATGCACATGTTTACTGTTGCCCTTTTAAAATCTGATTTAAGAGTGTGGAGACTCCTTTTTCACTATCTTTGAAACCTGTTGATCATGTTTGTACGGGTGGTGATCTCCTGTAGGGTTTGAAACTGCTTACATCTGTGAGGACTCCAGTGCTGTCCTCCACTGTGACACCAACAGCTCTATCAACATCCAGTCAGCTTTCTTTGGCCGCAAGAGTGACAAGATCTGCCCCCATCAGGAAGGAGCTTCAGGTACAGGGTAGAGCAAATGCCTCTGCCACTGAAGAGCTACTACTGTCGCTGTAACCAGTCATCTATTGGTATGTGTTGGGGTGTAATACAGTGCTTCAGACGGACATATTACTAACACGTTGGTTATACCTATCAGGAACATGCACTGTAGATGGCATCCTGCCTTTGGTACGAAAGGCGTGTGAAGGCCGACCCTTCTGCTTCTTGTATGCCCATGCTGAAACTGACCCCTGCCCTTCCATCTCCAAATATCTGGAAGTAGTGTACAGCTGTGAGCAACATGGTAGGTTGAAACCATCCCTAACCCTAACCAGACTCCCTGTCCATACTCCCAATTCCTCAATACCCAACCTCCAAAACTTGAACAGTACCTCTACTGTTTTTAACCATTGTCTCTCTGCAGTTATTCACGTGCCGGATACCTCTTGTGGTCTGACTTTCATGGTGCTGGTGTTTTTGATCTTTTAGTGTGTCTGAAAAGCCTGGGTCTGGCCCAGGGTGGTACCGTCCCAGACGCAGGATTCTCTGCCTCTTCCTCAATTGGTTCTAGCAATGGTCCTAGCAATGGTCGCCTGAATAGTAACTCCTGCTGGAAAACCTCAAGCCCCGGTAAGTTAACCCCTAACAACACTTTTCAAAATTTCTCACAATTCTCAAATCAATTCTCATTACTTTTTTTTTGGTGAAGGCAGTTCATTTTGTTCCTCTTCTGACATCACCACAGTAAACTCCTGGATCCAGGTGAACCTAGGCGAAACCAAAAAGGTCACAGGGGTCGTGATCCAAGGGTGTAAAGATGCAGATCACTGGGTGACTAAATTCAAGATCCAGCACAGTGTGGATGGAAGCCAATGGACTGACTACGTAGACGACGGAGGGGTAAAAATCACATCAAACACACAGGGCCGGTTTCCCAGACACAGATTAAGCAAAGTTCAGGACTAAAGACCACTTTCAATCGAGATCTCCATGGAACATATTTTTTAAGTCCAGGACTATACTTTATCCAATGTTCCTGTATTTCATCCACTGTCCTATGGTGGTCTGGATTATAAACTCCAGCCTCATCGTTGCACTTTGCCCTTCCTGTTTGTCCAGCAATTCCCAGGCTCAACGGACAGGAACACGCCAGAGACCTACATCATGGGGACTCCTGTCTCTGCCCAGTATGTCAGGATTCTTCCCCAGGAATTCAACGGACAGGCTGGACTTCGCTTTGACATCCTGGGATGTACACCTGACTGTAGGCAAAACTCGGCTATCTTTTTTTCCCTATTGTGAATTTTTTTGTGTCCACTCAGCATACTGACAAAGAGGAGTTTACTTTTCGCAGATGCTGTGACCTGTAGTGCAAAGCCCAACTTTGACTTTGCCAGTGACCGTAGGACGTAAGTCAAGACTCATTTTGAATTATAGTTTTAATTTCGGGAATAGAGTATTGCTTAGACTGCTGCCATGTTATTATTCCATAACTGAGAAGAGAAATCTGCTAGATTCCTCCAGGCTAAAGTCTATGCCTTACCCTATTCCAAAAATGTATATGCTTAGATATTGTCTGATTTGCAGTTCTGTATGGATTAATATCTTCCATGGGGGGGGCACCACAGAACCTGACAGGATATACACACACACAAAACACAACAAAAAAAAGGGCCTTTTATGTCTACAACTATTTCTGCTATCTTTATGAGTATTATTTGCGTGCATCTTTCAGTGTCCACTGCCCAGCAGGATGCGCACGGAAGACATACACTGTGTACGGGTCAACAAAATATAGAGGGGTGAGTGAATAAAAAATTGGTTTAACCATTTACTACTACCACTGCTTCAACACACGGTTTGTAGATGTGACGATATTGGGTGTATGTTCATGTTTATTTGCATAACATGAATCTGTGTACCAGGACTCCCACATTTGTGCAGCTGCGATCCATGCCGGAGTAATCCTGAATGATATTGGAGGAGACTGTACTATGTTGAAGGAACCGGGCCAGAACTTCTACAGCGGCTCCACCAAGAACGGCATCACCTCCAGGCAGTTAGTGTCTCATTACTGCATGACAGTGCACTGTCTACACTTCTTTAATTAATTAATTAATTAATAAGAACCTAACCATGCAGCCAATACCAACATAGTACCCTTTGACCTTCAACAGGTATGATGGGAACTATCAAATATCATACCAGTTTGCAGATGGAGGTACGTCAGACTACACAAACAAACAGAACATGCTCAGACGTCAAATCAAGTCGCCAAAGGACACTAATATGACTTCAATGTGATTGAATGTGCTGTAGGCTACTTAACTTAACTTTGATTCCTCTGCAGAGTTGAGATGCTCGGGGCCTGACTGGTATGAATTTGGGGAATTCTGCTACAAGCCCTACGGAGATAAAAAGACATGGCATGCAGCCCGTGGCGAGTGCAGGAAGCTGGGAGCTGACCTGGTGTCCATTCAGTCCATGACGGAACAGAGCTGGCTGGAGAGCTACCTTTACATGGGTAAGAGTCCACAGGGTCCGTATGGGGAAGTATTGGGGGGGGGGGGACATGAACACTACTTGCTGTTGGAAAGCTGACTTCTTCTTTTGATTCCGTCTTCCTTGCAGCCACCAATGATGTGTGGATTGGGCTGAATGATTTGGGCTTCTCAGGCCTGTTCTCTTGGTCAGACAACCACTGGGTCACTTTCACCTACTGGGCACCAGGAGAACCCAACAACCATCAAGGCTTCAATGAGGACTGCGTGGAGATGTTTTATCAGGTAACACGGTTAGCTTGGGCTCACATGCTTAACTCTTAACAATTACCCCCCCCCCCCCTACTCTTAACCTTACTGTTGTCATCACTTTAACCTGACACTTGTGTCCAACCAAAAGTGTCCTGTTCCTTTCATTGCAGACTGGTAGATGGAATGATGTCCCCTGCACGGAACTGAACACTTATATATGCAAGATGCCCAAAGCACACTACCCGCTTCCCTCCGTCATGCCCACGGTGTACGGATGCCCACAGGTGAGTGGTTGTCCTGTTGCACCTGCACCTGCCTGTAGTAGCTATCCCTCTGCAGCACCACATCAGTGTTTGTGTGGTGTGCCATAGGGCTGGGATGCCTATGGTTATTCCTGTTACTGGATGGAAGAGACCGCCAGAACCTGGTCAGACGCCAAGGCCTTCTGCGAGCAGCAGAACAGCAAACTTCTGCACATTGGGGACATGTGAGTGTGATTCTACCTCAGCATCTCACAAGATGTCTTTGTATATGTTATGGCAGATACAGATCATCAGTCTGGTGTACTTCGATCTGTTGGAAACCGGCCGGTGCATTTTTTTGATCCAAAGGGGCATCACATTCAAGACAAACAAACCCCCTTGGAATCTCGGCATGCCTCAGGATGTCTTTATATGTCTATAATGCTGGTCTTTGATTGGTGTTGAATAATATCTGTGATGTCTTTTCCAGTTATGAACAGTCCCACTTCACGGTGAAGCTGGCTGGATACACTGGTTTGTGGTGGATTGGACTGAGGGCAGGGGGTGATTCAGGAGGGGTGGATTACATTTGGGATAATGGAGCACCTCTCACCTTCACACACTGGGATCGAAACCAGCCAGGTAGAGTCATGTTACACCAATTAACGAATCTGAAATATTTTAATGTTAGTATATCGGTTGAATTGTTTACAATTGTCGTTGTGGTCCTCCAGATAACCACGTGGGAACCTGCGTTGGCATGACTACGGGCCCTACTGGTGGGTTCTGGGATGACAAGCAATGCACTGAGGCATTCCCATTCGTGTGTGAGACACCAAGGCCTGACATCACACCGCCCACTAAACCTCCAACTCCTCCCCCTTCACCGGACTGTGCGGACGGTTGGACGGCTGAGCGACACTTCAGGAACTGCTACAGGGTAAAGATACATACTAGCTTCATTTCAACTGATACACTGTAAAGATACAGACTAGCTTCATCTGAAGTGATACACTGTAAATATACATACTAGCTTCATCTAAACTGATACACTGTAAAGATACAGACTAGCTTCATCTGAACTGATACACTGTAAAGACACAGACTAGCTTCATCTGAACTGATACACTGTAAAGATACAGACTAGCTTCATCTGAACTGATACACTGTAAAGATACAGACTAGCTTCATCTGAACTGATACACTGTAAAGATACAGACTAGCTTCATCTGAACTGATACACTGTAAAGACACAGACTAGCTTCATCTGAACTGATACAGGGTAAAGACACACTATCTTTATGTGAACTGATAATCATTAAAGACACAGACTAGCTTCCTCTGAACTGCTGAACTAGTACAGGGTAAAGAGCCTCAACACTATATGAACTGATACTTGGTAGAGAAACATAGCATTATCTGAAGTGCTACAGGGTAAATCTCAAAATGTTTGTTGTAGCTCTTCACGGTGGATTTCTCCAAGAAGAAGAGTTGGTCTGCAGCCCGTGAGGACTGTACGTCCAGGGGGGCAGACCTTGTCAGTATCCATAGCATGGAGGAAGAGAACTTCCTGTCCACGCACACCAAGGGGAAGTCCATGTGGATCGGGCTGAAACACAACCCTACAGATGGAGGTTACCACTGGAGTGACGCTACTCCTGTGAGCCACACCAACTGGGGACATGGGGAGCCCAACAACCATGAGGGTCGTGAGGACTGTGTAGAGATGGTGAGCAACACAAATGGAACGTCGTCTTGGTGGAACGATCTCAACTGTGATGCCCATCAGGACTGGATCTGCATGATCTCCAAGGTGAAGAAGCCCATCGTGCCTCCAGTGCCCCCTCCTCCTGTTCCAGGTAACCAGCTTAGTGCACCTCTGATCACACTGTTAAACCATAAGATAGCACCGTAGGTTTCATGATCATTGATTTGTTCCAGAAGTTTCAATGAGCTGTACGTCCCTGAGAAATGGCTTGTATCTCCCCCCAGCACCTGACTGCGGTACCAACGCTGGCTGGAGGAAGAACAATGGCATCTGCTATTACTATAACGATACCGACATAGTGGACTTCTACCAAGCCATGTCCCGCTGCTACGCTGAGAAGGCCCATCTGGTCTCCATCTTAAACAAAGACGAACAGGCGTACATCAACACAATGGTGCGATATGCTTGTCCAAGCAGACCTCTCGAAAACCGATACATCTAATGCAGCTTTAACTTAGCTTAACTTTTGTTAAGTTTATCGGGTTGGGTGTAGGAGGAGTTACAAAATCTCAATGGTCGGCTCCTCTCAGTAACGTGTCTTGGACATTGCAGATTGGGACGGGAAAGGCCGAATCATCGTGGATTGGAATGCTGGTGTTTGGGATCGCAGCAGACCAATACCAGTATGTATTTTTTTTTGTATTGATACTACCCATGCTGTTGCATAATATGGTGTGGGATATTGTCAAGACTGCTCACCACCTATCTCTGTTCCCCTACACAGGTGGGTGGACTGGTCCCCTGTCACATATGTTTTCTGGGGTCCGGGAGAGCCTAATAATGCCAATGGGGAGGAACAGTGTGTCCAGATGAACAGACATCAAGGTACTGATGTAAACAGGTTGAGCTTTCTGTAAAGAATATAATAAAAATAATACAAAATAAACTCCCATACAACAATTTTGGTCGCATATGCTCCTAAATATTTTGCTGTGCGACCTGACATTTTATTTTGGGAGCACCGTGTGCCTACAAAAATAATCACCCAGATAATAATTGTTGTAATGATTAGGCTTCGTTGTCCCGTTATTTTCGAGTGCCTTAAGAGAAGAAAAAAAAAGTGAGCACAGATTCGTTACTGTCATTGTTGCGTCATTACTACAGCGAAAACGGATTGTCAGGTTAAAAGATACTGTATGACCCATATTACCGACGCAATGTTTTTTTCTTCCGATCGTGAATTGGCTATACGTTCATTAACTATTTCGCAGGCTGTACCAAAACCACTCGTTGTTCAGTCATGTAAATTCATTAGCTAGCTAGCCAACTTTAATTACCAGTATATCTAAACATTTGACGATAGAAAGGGAAAAAGTATACTTCTTCAGAAAATCCATCAAATCAACTCAAATTGTATTTGTCACATACACGTGTTTAGCAGATGTTATAGCGGGTGTAGCGAAATGCTTGTGCTTCTAGCTCCGACAGTGCAGTAATATCTAACAAATAATATCTTAACAATTTCACAACATATACCTAATACACACAAAACTAGTAAGGAACGATCACATCACTGCAATGAACTTGACGCTCTTAAAGAGACAGTGTACAAATGTCGATGGGAATGCATCTCTATAGGTGGTTCTCTTACACGATGTAGAAACCAAAAATTCCACAAATGACTGTAATGTCAATGACCAGGTTTATGTATCAACATTTTAGCTTTTTATCAGAAACAAATGTCTTTACAGGGTTAAAATTATTAGTTTCTAAGGCACAACAGTAGCTAGAAATTAATCTAGTCCCAATATAGGCTATATCTAAATCAATTTAAAAAATATTGTTTTCTGGTGCTCCTAAATTTTATGTTGTGCTCCTAACTTTTTAAGTTGGGAGCACCATTCTACCAATGGAAAACGGTTCATTTAGAGGCCTCATCCAACATATTCTGTCTCTTGTTTCTCGTAGGTAATTGGAACGATGTCAACTGCGCCCGTACCAATGCAGGTTACCTGTGTAAGAAATACCCTGGTGAAGACCACACCCCTCCTCCTCCCACCCAACCCTGGACGGGATACTGCCCAGAGGGTACGGCAGAAACCCATTAATCCTTCAGGTGCTGATTTGTGAAATGATCCCCCCCCCCCAAAAAAAAACACAAGCAGTAACCAGTGTATTTTGTCTGGCTGTTCTAGGATGGAAACTGTTCCGAAACAAGTGCTTCATGTTCCAAGGACACAAGCACGGGATGAAAGGCAACTGGACCTTCGCTCGGAGTTGGTGCAAAAGTAAAGGAGCAGAATTGGCTGTCATCGACAATCAATATGAGAACGGTAATCTATTAGAAAGAACCCTCACTTTGAAGATCAAGTGGATCAAAGTTCCTATTTTTTTTTTCCCATGGTGGTTTTACATTTTGAATGTCCTCTGTTCTCCAGACTTTGTGTCCAGCTATCTAAGGGAACTGAAGCGGTCAACATGGATTGGCTTGACAGACAGCCTGGTGGAAGGGGGGTTTGGCTGGAGTGACGGTGTGAGTCCGGTGTTGTACACCAACTGGGCCGACAAGGAACCCAACAACGATGGAGGGCGGGTGAGAATCATGCACAGCTCCAATATACTTCAGATGAGGGGTTTTTTGAAGGTCACCGTGAATGTCAAAAGATTGTAAGGTTTTTCACCTCACAGACTGGATGGTTTTAAAACGAGATAACAGGCTACAAGTTTCACAGAGATTAGACTTTGACCTGTTGCCTCCCCCAGGAGCACTGCACCGCCATTACTCATAACTCCTTGGTGAGCGGACGCTGGAACGATGACTTGTGCACTGAGGAACATAGCTGGGTCTGCTCCATGAAGAAATGTTAGTGCTGACAAAAAAACAACAACAAAAAAAAACCTCACTCTTTGTAACTTAATTTTGTTGTTGTTGACCTTTGTTAAAAGTTCTATAATTTCATTCCCGACAGCAAGCAGTATGGCTCCGCCAGCTCCAACCCCAAACCCCTGCCCCTCTGGCTACGTCTCCTGGTATAAGAACTGCTACAAGCTGGTGGAGGAGCCCAAGACGTGGGAGGCAGCTCAGCTGGCATGTGAGCAGGAAGTGGGCAACTTGGCCAGCATTGACATGAGCTACGACCAGGCCTTCGTGGCTGGGGCTGTACTCCAGGGCAAGGCAGACGCATGGATTGGACTCCGACGCAAGGCACTAGCCAAATCCTCTTTATAGAATTGAACTGGCATTAATCACAACAAAGCTCATTTTCAAGTTGTGTCATTTCTTTGATTATGGTAAGTGGACAGGGTGCTCTTGGTTGATGGTTTGTTGTATCTGCAGGATGATAGCAGTTCATATACCTGGACAGACGGCTGGCCAGTGTTCTTCACTCACTGGGGACCTGGGGAACCTAGCAACCACAAAGCAGAGGGCTGTGTGAGCATGCATGCAGACCGCATCTTCCATGGAACGTGGAATGACACCGATTGCAATTCTGCCAAGGCCTACATCTGCAAGATCACCTCAGGTAGGACCTACAGTGCCTTCAGAAAGTATTCATACCCCTCGACTTATTCCACATTTTGTTGTTACAGCCTGAATTCAAAATGGATGAAATATGTACCCATCTACCCACAACACCCCATAATGACAAAGTGAAAACATGATTTTAGAAATGTTAGCAAATTTATTGAAAATTAAATACAGGAATATCTCATTATCTCAATATCTCAAGTATTCACACCCCTCCGTCAATACATGTTAGAATCACCTTTGGCAGCGATTACAGCTGTGAGTCTTTGCACACCTGGATTGTACAATATTTTCACATAATTCTTAAAAACATTATTCAAGCTCTGTCAAGTTGTTTGTTGATCATTGCTAGACAGCCATTTTCAAGTCTTTCCAAGTCAAAACTGTAACTAGGCCACTCAGGAACATTCAATGTCTTCTTGGTAAGCAACGCCAGTGTAGATTTGGCCTTGTCTTTTAGGTTATTGTCCTGCTGAAAGGTGAATTTGTCTCCCAGTGTCTGTTGGAAAGCAGAATGAAACCAAGTTTTCCTCTGAGTGGTACTCAGTAATGTGTTTTGTTAGGTTTGCCCCAAGCAAAATGCTTTGTATTAAGGAAATAAAGTGAATTTGGTAGCCAATTTTTTTTTTAGCAGTTTTACTTTAGTGCCTTATTGCAAACAGGATGCATGTTTTAGAATATTTTTATTTAACATTTTTATTAATTTGTAAAACTTTCTAAAAACAGAATTCCACTTTGAAATTATGGGGTATTGTGTGTAAACCAGTGACACAAAATATATAAGTCTGAAGGAACTTTACATCTCCACTGCAGCATAACCCCCTAAGGTTGATGTCCACGCCCCCGCGGAAATCTAATTCGCATAATAACAAAATCCCCATAGAAATCCGTCAGTTATATGCGTCTCAATCCACTGCATCCGCCTATGTCGCACTTCTGCATCTGCGGTGAAAGGTGACAAAGCTAGAGCGGTGTTTGTCGGACCATGAGACATCCTGAAAAATCGGGACTCATTTGACCCCTGTATGGAAAGACAAGACTCTCGCGAACACGACGGTGTTCTCCGTTTTGCTCTACGACCCCCACAAGTAATAATAATAATAATATGCCATTTAGCAGACACTTTTATCCAAAGCGACTTACAGTCATGCGTGCATACATTTTTGTGTATGGGTGGTCCCGGGGATCGAACCCACTACCTTGGCGTTACAAGCGCCGTGCTCTACCAGCTGAGCTACAGAGGACCACAAGTGTCTTGGGACTCGTCTGAAGTCAGTACAGACGATCTGCTCTCTTCTGTCTGTAGCTTCCGGAACAGTTTGGGCTACACACTCTCACGAACATGTTGGTTGTTTTGCTCTAGGACGCCCACGAGACTCGTCTGAAGGTCCCCCGGTACCAGTTGATAAAATGAATGGAAGTACATATGGAGACTGTTTTGTGCCAAAAATAAGGGGTTAAATACATGTAAAAAATAATAATAAAATCTTTCTTATATCTCTAAAATATAGGACAGACACTTCAGAACAAACTTCCTTTTAGATTATTTTTTGGAGACTATTTGTTGTTCCATGTAGTGAATCTGTTATTAAATGCGTTTGAATAAGCTAATAGCAGTAAGGCCAAATAAAATGTTTAATCAAATATTTGTTTTAATATATATTTTTTGATTCTTCAAGGGGTCTTAAAATTCAAAATGAAATAGCAAAATGATCTTTGGTATGACTTTCTGAAAACAATTCCATACAGCTTAGTAGAACCCCCTCCCCCGTCTTAGACAGGGCTTAGACTCTGATGGGATAAGCAGAATCATTTAACTAGCCCACTCATGACAAGTGTAGTATATTTTCCCACAGGTTTCCGATAATTGCAGCTTCAAATGCCACCTGTTTAAAATACTAAATATATATATTTTTTTATATACACTCTCTCCTCAGAGTCTCCTCCTCCAACCCCAGCCCCCGGAGATGGGAAATGCCTTCATGGCTGGGTTCCCTATGGTCGCTATTGCTACCTTGTACACAACGGGCCCCAGGGATTCTCCTGGCCAGAGGCCAGACACTACTGCCAAGGAATGAGAGGAGACCTGGTGTCCATCCACAGTAGAGCAGAGGTGGAGTTCATCTTGAAAATGAACTACACCAGGGTGCACAACGTCTGGATCGGCCTGACCAGGGACAACAACTGTAAGTGTATTATTGATATTAGAAGTACAAATAAAAGCCTGTTATATTAACTGAAGTACCCTTTAAAATAGACCCATGGAGAATTCAATCAATCAGATTTTTAATGTGAATAAAGGCTTGCTAAAGGGTCAAAATTCAGCATATTGACTTGTCCCTCCACCAACCCTGTGTCACTTCTAGGAAGATTTCAACCCACTTAATCCAAACATTTCTCTAATGTAAAGCCCTAGTTATTTTGTTGCTTTGACAAAGTCATTTATGAAGATTATTATTTATTTCATGTAATTAGTGATTAATTTACATCTGTCACTCATTTTAAGGTCAACCCTGTTATGTGAACTGAACTATTATTTTCAATATTTTGTTCAATAGAAACATTGAACATCGAATAGTCAAATCATAGTGTAAAAGCAGGTGAGCTGGTTCTACTCTTTCTGGCCATTTTCTGGTGTTTTGTGGTGGAAAACGGAGCGGGTCGAGCAAAACACGTCAACCCTGTTATCCATAGATAGACAGGCTAGAAATTATTCAACAATTACATTTGTTTGTGAAGCTTGCATTCAATTGCCATCCCTGTTGCACACAACCAGCTTCCATTCCCCCTGTCACGAGCGGATTTATGGCTGATTTAAGATGACAGAGTTACGTGTCAACCCGTGTTACGTGTCAACCCGTGTTACGGTCAACCCTGTTACGGTCAACCGTGTTACTTTATTTGGCACTTAATAGGCACTTACTATAATATTATTTTTTATTTAACCTCTTGAGATAGGAAAATTTAGTTTTTTTATTAAGTTGAACATGTGCTGTACATTACAGAATTTTAAACCGAGTTACACTTCTTAAAAGGCACCGAATTGGTGGAACGACCCAAGTACCGTTGTGCACTGACCTAACCTTTCACCATTATTGTTTTCTCACCTAAGTGTATAACATGATGCTAATATCTGTAACTGTTTCCAGTTGGTTGGAGTTGGACAGACATGCAGTCCTTGGCTTTCCTGAACTGGGCGCCCAACGAGCCCAACGAAGCCTTCCACCAAGGAGACGTGGGAGGAGAGAACTGTGTCGAGATGTACCCTGACGGACAGTGGAACGACAACAACTGTATGCAGAAGAGAGGATATGCCTGTCGCCATCGCCAATGTGAGTACTCAGTATAACTGATACAAGACAGGCACTGGGGTCCATTTGATGCAGTATTTTCAGATGCTAATGCCACTGTTATTTCTCCTGCAGACTACACCACAGATGACGGTGGTATAGTCATTCCCACTGATGCTCCCCCAGCTAACAGTAAGTTTGCTATACTAGTTGCAACATTGAAAAAAAAAAAACATAGATCATTCCCGAAACCATAGATCATCAAAATATTCATTTGTATTTGTTCCTTTCTTAAAACAGGTGCAGGACTGATAGCTGGGGCTGTGATTGGGGCCATAGTCGTCTTCACCTTGATATTTGGACTGCTATATTATGTCTTTAGTATCAGAGGGGTCAAGCTGAGTGACGTCAGCTTCCCAACAAGAACGGGAAAGAGCGTCGATGTGGTAAGTGAATCTTCTGCTGAAGAAACCATGGCTGTAATAAAAGATGGATGTTCGTGATGAATGAATACAACGATATCTAAGAACTGTTTTTGAGACGTGCATTTTTGAGAGAATATGTTTTCTATTAATCTCTTTTAATTCTTATAAATCAGTCGGCAACATATAATATTTTTGTAATGTGATGGTAACATGGCAACGAGAGAGGAAATAGCTGTTCGCTGTAAACAAAGCAAATAGCAGGGATAGTAGCCATCCTTGGCTAGTTCCTCTTTAGATATTGAGAAATGGGCGATGTTCATGTGAGGAGGTTTACAGGGATTCATGAACACTCTACCTACATGTACATATTACTTCAATTACCTGGACTAACCTGTGCCCCCGCACATTGACTCTGTACCGGTACCCCCTGTATATAGCCTCCCTACTGTTATTACACATTGACTCTGTACCGGTACCCCCTGTATATAGCCTCCCTACTGTTATTACACATTGACTCTGTACCGGTACCCCCTGTATATAGCCTCCCTACTGTTATTACACATTGACTGTGTACCGGTACCCCCTGTATATAGCCTCCCTACTGTTATTACACATTGACTCTGTACCGGTACCCCCTGTATATAGCCTCCCTACTGTTATTACACATTGACTCTGTACCGGTACCCCCTGTATATAGCCTCCCTACTGTTATTACACATTGACTCTGTACCGGTACCCCCCTGTATATAGCCTCCCTACTGTTATTACACATTGACTCTTACCGGTACCCCCCTTTATATAGCTCGCTACTGTTATTACACATTGACTCTGTACCGGTACCCCATGTATATAGCCTCCTACTGTTATTACACATTGACTCTGTACGGTACCCCCTTGTATAGAGCCTCCTACTGTTATTACCATTGACTCTGTACCGGTACCCCCTGTATATAGTCCTCCCTACTGTTATTACACATGACTCTGTACCGGTATCCCCTGTATATAGCCTCCCTACTGTTATTACACATTGACTCTGTACCGGGTATCCCCCCTGTATATAGCCTCCCTACTGTTATTACACATTGGACTCTGTACCGGCTACCCCCTGTATATCGCCCTCCCTACTGTTATTACACATGAACTCGGTACCGGTACACCCGTATATAGCCTCCCTTTGGTCTTACACATTGTACCCCCCTGGTATTAGGTAGCCTCCCTTATATTAGCCTCCCTATTTATTACACATTGACTCTGTACCGGTATCCCCTGTATATAACCTCCCTACTGTTATTACACATTGACTCTGTACCGGTACCCCCCTGTATATAGCCTCCCTACTGTTATTACACATTGACTCTGTACCGGTACCCCCTGTATATAGCCTCCCTACTGTTATTACACATTGACTCGGTACCGGTACCCCCTGTATATAGCCTCCCTACTGTTATTACACATTGACTCGGTACCGGTACCCCCCTGTATATAGCCTCCCTACTGTTATTACACATTGACTCGGTACCGGTACCCCCTGTATATAGCCTCCCTACTGTTATTACACATTGACTCTGTACCGGTACCCCCTGTATATAGCCTCCCTACTGTTATTACACATTGACTCTGTACCGGTACCCCCTGTATATAGCCTCGCTACTGTTATTACACATTGACTCTGTACCGGTACCCCCCTTGTATATAGCCTCCCTACTGTTATTACACATTGACTCTGTACCGGTACCCCCTGTATATAACCTCCCTACTATTATTTCCCATTGACTCTGTACCGGTACCCCCTGTATATAGCCTCGCTACTGTTATTACACATTGACTCTGTACCGGTACCCCCCTGTATATAGCCTCCCTACTGTTATTACACATTGACTCTGTACCGGTACCCCCTGTATATAACCTCCCTACTATTATTTCCCATTGACTCTGTACCGGTACCCCCTGTATATAGCCTCTCTACTGTTATTTCCCATTGACTCTGTACGGTACCCCCCTGTATATAGCCTCCCTACTGTTATTACACATTGACTCTGTACCGGTACCCCCTGTATATAGCCTCCCTACTGTTATTACACATTGACTCTGTACCGGTACCCCCCTGTATATAGCCTCCCTACTGTTATTACACATTGACTCTGTACCGGTACCCCCTGTATATAGCCTCGCTACTGTTATTTTACTGCAGCTCTTTAATTATTTGTTTTTTTATTTACATTTTTTTATTTTTTTCACTTATCTATTTTAATTTTTTACTTAACACTTATTTTTCTTAACTGCATTGTTGGTTAAGGGCTTCACTGTAAGGTCTACTACACCTATTGTATTCGGCGCATGTGACAAAATTAAATTTTGATTTGAAATGTTAAAATTCAGGCTGAATCTTCCTTTGTTCTTCTATTGCAGCCTGCTTTTAACAACCCCAACTTTGGAGGAGAATCGGAAACATGAAGCATTGGATCTGGATCAGTTTTTGAATGTTTGTAATGAATCGCGATTGCCACACTTTCTCTTGTATAAGAGATCACCATCTCAATAACTTAGGTCTGTTTTAATAAACCATGAATACAACGATATCTAAGAACTGTTTTTGAGACGTGCATTTTTGAGAGAATATGTTTTCTATTAATCTCTTTTAATTCTTATAAATCAGTCGGCAACATATAATATTTTTTTGATTGATGCTTGTTGTTGTATATATCACACTACATTAGCAATAAAATCACTTTTCTGAAACAAATTGGGCTGCCACGACCACCGGAGATTTCATATATCTGCCAAATGGCAAAGCTATTTTACGATAATGTATGAAATAGTATTATTTACTGTTGTATTTAATGTATTGATAATGCACTATTTTCTAAAAGAGGTTTGAATAAAATAAAATACACTTTTAATACTATTTCTAAATGTATTGCGTGCCGGAGACCTTTTCAAATGTGTCTGTGGCTGAAAATATCGTAGTTATATTTTCCCCTGATTTTACTTTTGTAAAACCGATAAATATAAAACAAACATGTTTGAAGATATGTTTTATGTTTGCTCAGATTAGAATATTGTGTATTGAATACTGAATTTATATATTATAATAATATATAATATTGAATACTCTATCAAGAGAATATTCACTTGGTGTTCTATTCTTCTAACTGCTATGGTATAGAAATATCCTTGATGTATTCAACTTTTCACTGCTGGTATAGTGACTTGCCAATTTTAATAGAGAAAGTACAAATTGTTTTGTAAATTAATATGAGATCATACACTGTATGCTGTTGCTTGTGTTGTGCTTTTATTAATCATTTGAATCTTTTAAAAGTACACTACATGGCCAAAAGTATGTGGACACCCCTTCAAATTAGTGGATTTGGCTATTTCAGCCACACCCGTTGCTGACAAGGTGTATAAAATCGAGCACACAGCCATGCAATCTCCATAGACAAACACTGGCAGTAGAACAGCCTTACTGAAGAGCTCAGTGACTTTCAACTTGGCTCCGTCATAGGATGCCACCTTTCCAACAAGTCAGTTCGTCAAATTTCTGCCCTGCTAGAGCTGCACTGGTCAACTGTAAGTGCTGTTATTGTGAAATGAAAACATCTAGGAGCAACAACGGCTCAGCCGCAAGGTGGTAGGCCACACAAGCTCACAGATCGGGACCGCCGAGTGCTGTAGCGTGTAAAAATAATTTGTACTCGGTTGCAGCACTCCAACCTGCCTCTGGAAGCAACGTCAGTACAATAACTGTTGGTCGGGAGCTTAATTAAATGGGTTTCCATGGCCGAGCAGCCGCACTCAAGCCTAAGATCACCTTGCGCAATGCCAAGCGTCGGCTGGAGTAGTGTAAAGCTCACTGACATTGAACTCTGGAGCAGTGGAAACACATTCTCTGGAGTGATGAATCACGCTTCACCATCTGGCAGTCCGACGGACGAATCTGAGTTTGGCGGATGCCAGGAGAACGCTACCTGCCCAAATGCATAGTGCCAACTGTAAAGTTTGGTGGAGGAGGAATAGTGCTCTGGGGCTGTTTTTCATGGTTCAGGCTAGGCCCCTTAGTTCCAGTGAACGGAAATCTTAACGCTAGAGCATACAATAACGTTCTAGACGATTCTGTACTTCCAACTTTGTGGCAACAGTTTGGGGAAAGCCGACTGCGAGTCAGACCTAATCACCCAACATCAGTGCCCGACTTCACTAATGCTCTTGTTGCTGAATGGAAGCAAGTCCCCACAGCAATGTTCCAACATCTAGTGGAAAGCCTTCCCAGAAGAGTGGTAGGCTGTTATAGCAGCAAAGGGGGGGACCAACTCCATATTAATGCCCATGATTTTGGAATGAGATGTTCGACAAGTATGTCCACATACCTTTGGCCATGTAGTGTAGTTCATTTTGACGATATATAGTTATTCTCAATTTATCAAGTATATAATTCCAATGTATACTTATTGTACTGAACAAAAATATAAACGCAACATGTAAAATGTTGGTCAAATGTTTCATGTGCTGAAATAAAAGATCCCAGAAATGAATAATAGGCCACTCTTAAAATGTACAGTTTTGTCACACAACACAATACCACAGATGTCTCAAGTTTTGAGGGAGCGTGCAATTGGCATGCTGACTGTAGGAATGTCCACCAGAGCTGTTGCCAGATAATTGAATGTTAATATCTCTACCTTAAGCCGCCTCCAATGTCGTTTTAGAGAATTTGGCAGTACGTGCAACCGGCCTCACATCCGTAGACCACGTGTAACCACGCCAACCCAGGACCTCCACATCTGGCTTCTTCAGCCACCCGGACAGCTGATGAAACTGCGGGTTTGCACAACTGAAGAATTTCTGCACCAACTGTCAGAAACCGTCTCAGGGAAGCTCATCTGCGTGCTCGTCATCCTCATCAGGGTCTTGACCTGACTGCAGTTTGGTGTCGTAATCGACTTCAATGGTCAAATGGTCATCTTCGATGGCCACTGGCACGCTGGAGAAGTGTGCTCTTCATGGACAAATCCCGGTTTCAACTGTACCGGGCAGATGGCAGACAGTGGTGAATGGCGTCGTGTGGGCAAGCGGTTTGCTGATGTCAACTTTGTGAACAGAGTTCTCCATGGTGACGGTGGGGTTATGGTATGGGCAGGCATAAGCTATGGACAACAAACATTTTATCGATGGCAATTTGAAAGCACAGAGTTACCGTGACGAGATCCTGAGGCCCATTGTCATGCCACTCATCCGGCGCAATTATCTAATGTTTCAGCATGATAATGCACAGCCCCATGTGGCAAGGATCTGTACACAATTCCTGGAAGCTGAAAATGTCCCAGTTCTTCCATGGCCTGCATACTCACCAGGCATGACACCCATGTTTGGGATGCTCTGGATCGACGTGTACGACAGCGTGTTCCAGTTCCCGCCAATATCCAGCAACTTCGCACAGCCATTGAAGAGGAGTGGGACAACATTCCACAGGTCACAATCAACAGCCTCATCAACCCTATGCGAAGGAGATGTGTTGCGCTGCATGAGGTAAATGGTGGTCACACCAGATACTGACTGGTTTTCTGATTCACGCCCCTACCCAACAGATCTATATCTGTATTCACAGTCGTGAAATCCATAGAGCAGGGTCTAATGAATTCATTTCAATTGACTGATTTCCTTATATAAACTGTAACTCAGTAAAATCTTTGAAATTGTTGCGTGTTGTGTTTATATTTTTGTTCAGTGTAGTTAATTTGGTCAGACTTTAAATAAAATATAATTATTCAGGCTTAGCGTAATGAAGTCTTCATCTTACATTACTTACCATGCGTTATGTCACCCTTTGAAATGATCTTTATAAGGGCCCTATATAATTTCTGCAATGGGACGTAATGGGTTGTGACACAATAAGATGTGTGATATTTGTGACATTTGGTTAAAGATTAGAGGTTAAACCAGCAGATATACCACCCTGCCCTCAGATTAGAGGTTAAACCAGCAGATATACCACCCTGCCCTCAGATTAGAGGTTAAACCAGCAGATATACCACCCTGCCCTCAGATTAGAGGTTAGACCAGCAGATATACCACCCTGCCCTCAGATTAGAGGTTAAACCAGCAGATATACCACCCTGCCCTCAGATTAGAGGTTAAACCAGCAGATATACCACCCTGCCCTCAGATTAGAGGTTACCACCCTGCCCTCAGATTAGAGATTAAACCAGCAGATATACCACCCTGCTCTCAGATTAGAGGTTAGACCAGCAGATATACCACCCTGCTCTCAGATTAGAGGTTAGACCAGCAGATATACCACCCTGCCCTCAGATTAAAGGTTAAACCAGCGGATATACCACCCTGCCCTCAGATTAGAGGTTAGACCAGCAGATATACCACCCTGCCCTCAGATTAGAGGTTAAACCAGCAGATATACCACCCTGCCCTCAGATTAGAGGTTAAACCAGCGGATATACCACCCTGCCCTCAGATTAGAGGTTAAACCAGCAGATATACCACCCTGCCCTCAGATTAGAGGTTAAACCAGCAGATATACCACCCTGCCCTCAGATTAGAGGTTAAACCAGCAGATATACCACCCTGCCCTCAGATTAGAGGTTAAAACAGCAGATATACCACCCTGCCCTCAGATTAGAGGTTAAACCAGCAGATATACCACCCTGCTCTCAGATTAGAGGTTAAACCAGCAGATATACCACCCTGCCCTCAGAGTAGAGGTTACCACCCTGCCCTCAGATTAGAGGTTAAACCAGCAGATATACCACCCTGCTCTCAGATTAGAGGTTAGACCAGCAGATATACCACCCTGCTCTCAGATTAGAGGTTAGACCAGCAGATATACCACCCTGCCCTCAGATTAGAGGTTAAAACAGCAGATATACCACCTACCCTCAGATTAGAGATTAAACCAGCAGATATACCACCCTGCCCTCAGATTAGAGGTTAAACCAGCAGATATACCACCCTGCTCTCAGATTAGAGGTTAAAACAGCAGATATACCACCCTGCCCTCAGATTAGAGGTTAAACCAGAAGATATACCACCCTGCCCTCAGAGTAGAGGTTAAACCAGCGGATATACCACCCTGCCCTCAGAGTAGAGGTTAAACCAGTGGATATACCACCCTGCCCTCAGAGTAGAGGTTAAACCAGCAGATATACCACCCTGCCCTCAGAGTAGAGGTTAGACCAGCAGATATACCACCCTGCTCTCAGATTAGAGGTTAAACCAGCAGATATACCACCCTGCCCTCAGAGTAGAGGTTAAACCAGCGGATATACCACCCTGCCCTCAGAGTAGAGGTTAGACCAGCAGATATACCACCCTGCCCTCAGATTAGAGGTTAAACCAGCAGATATACCACCCTTCCCTCAGATTAGAGGTTAAACCAGCAGATATACCACCCTGCCCTCAGATTAGAGGTTAGACCAGCAGATATACCACCCTGCTCTCAGATTAGAGGTTAAACCAGCAGATATACCACCCTGCCCTCAGATTAGAGATTAAACCAGCAGATATACCACCCTGCCCTCAGATTAGAGGTTAGACCAGCAGATATACCACCCTACCCTCAGATTAGAGATTAAACCAGCAGATATACCACCCTGCCCTCAGATTAGAGGTTAGACCAGCAGATATACCACCCTGCTCTCAGATTAGAGGTTAAACCAGCAGATATACCACCCTGCCCTCAGATTATAGGTTAGACCAGCAGATATACCACCTGCCCTCAGATTAGAGGTTAAACCAGCAGATATACCACCCTGCCCTCAGATTAGAGGTTAAACCAGCAGATATACCACCCTGCCCTCAGATTAGAGGTTAAACCAGCAGATATACCACCCTGCCCTCAGATTAGAGGTTAAACCAGCAGATATACCACCCTGCCCTCAGATTAGAGGTTAAAACAGCAGATATACCACCCTGCCCTCAGATTAGAGGTTAAACCAGCAGATATACCACCCTACTCTCAGATTAAAGGTTTCATCGGCAGGGACACATTGCAGGAGCATCTACTCACATGTGGGTGTGCCATTTGCATGAGTACCACAGACTCCCTTTCTCTCTTTACATGGCCACATGCAGAGCAGACCGAGCCTGCAGGGCCGGTGTCCCCAGACAGCCGTGTGTGTCCCCGTTTCTAATCTAAACACCTTTCTATGTGTTGTAGTAGAACACAGCCGGGAAATTCCGCCCCCGGCTCTTTAACGTCAGTGAGGACAGTCTAATTTGCATGGTGTTGAGAAGATGATGCTCTTTCATCACTATTTTTCCTTGTTCTATTTAATAACTGATTTTGAGTAATACTGCCTTCCTCCTGGTGGTTGAAAGGGATTTTAATTCAAGCTGTTGATATTAGTTTTAGTAAATGGCTTAGAT